TAGGTATTCAGCCCCTTCCCTTCCAAGTAGGCGAGAGTTTCTCCAATGCCCTTCGATTCCATGTGGTGGCACCCAATGCTGTAGCAGTACAAAGTTTCCAAGAAGGTACGGGCGACGACATGTGAGAGGATATTCTTCTCGAGTTGCTCGATGTAGCCACCAGCGCACACCCTCAGTCTGGGGCCCACGAAGAAAATATCGGTTCATCCATTCAGGTACGGCCGGTCCACACCATCAACCCGCGCCTTGGTGAATGGGGTGAAGATGATGTCCTGGACCGTAGCGACGTTGCCGGAGCTGCTCGATGTTTGAGGTCTTGCAGATCAAGAGTACTGGTCTCCAGGTAGCTATCCATGGGTGATTCCATTCAAGAAGTTCCGCAGCTGTTTGGAGGCCACGTGAATTCCAAAGGCGTTCTCCACTCAGGCCGCGACTGGAGATGACTTCATATTTTGGTACATGAAGGTGAATGGCGGCAGCCGGCTCCTGCTTATAGAGGAAGATCTTGGGTATCTTCCGCCCTGGTACTCATATCCACTTCCTCTGTCTGGGCTGCGAAAACTTCGCTCATATGTGACTCGGCCGTACTTTTTTTTTGGCCCTGTATATTCGGTTGATCTGTTTGCCCAATACTTCAGATAACCTTTTTTATGCAGATTACCTCATAATCTGCCACTGTTGTCCTCCTGGATAATGCTTTTGGAGGTGCTATGTCTCTACCTCACGCTCTACCTTTCATCTTGTGCGAGTGAGGTCCAAAATCAACAGCATTGTCATCACTTTCCATTGCGGATCGACCTGGCTGAACTACGTGACAGCAGAAGAGCGACAGCGAACACATATTTCGAAGTAGATCCACATCTAACCATAAGAAGTATCGACTTGGCGGCTCTTCTCCGTCCACCGTAGCTCTGGCATTACCCTGTGCCACTACTACCCCTCTTGGTACACATGGACAGACAGCATTTCCGTTGGTGAAAGCAGCCCACAAGCGGGACCTCCAATGGTCTGGATTGCCTGTTGGTTGGGAGCGTGTCGTAGATACCAGTAGAGGGTACGTCAGTGGTAGCACACTCAACGCAAGAGGCAGACAGTTCGTAAACGAAAATTGGGAGCTGCCTCAGAAATTACTGGCTGACTTTACACGTAGGTTATTCAATCCACTCGCTGCGACATGCTGGTGAGATCGCTCTGACAATGAGACTAAGAAGGCGAAGCGTTGTAAATGAGCATCCATGATGATCAACTTTCGATGAACCTTGGCATCGTGTGAGGTCTTACTGACGTGTTGTAAATGGTATTACGCACGCGACATTCGCACCAAGTGATTCAACATCACTATCGTGCGACATGCAAGCCAATTAGGTAATATCACTGCTAGATCCTGAAGCATGTGCGCCTCAGTTGTATTAATTCCCACCGTCCCTTCAAGAATACCTGGCAACAGGCTGTCAGGACAAACTAAACATTTTGCGTTGCCATCTTGCAACCATTTCATTGTTTTGGATTCACTATCAAACGTTTAGAAACGTTGTCAGCAAACGGTCGTCGGGAATTGAGGACGTGGGCGCCATTAACTGGAGTGTTTTCTTTGCTTTACTTGTGTTGAACTTCATCGTATTCTTAGTGCTGATTGAAGGTTACAAATATATTGGAAAAATCGGATATGTAAGTTGCAAACCACCTTTTCATTCCACTAAACGTCATCAAAGATTTTGAAGTTAATGTTATGCAGTTGACTTCTACGGCTCCCTACTTGATAATTATCGCTCTTTTCATTCGTGGAATCACGCTTGAAGGCGCTGGTGTAGGAGTTTATCATTTCCTTGGAAAGCCGGACATGAACAAGTTGCTCAAACGTGAGGTAAGCACGAACATGGAAGTCGCTGCTAATCTGCCACATTAAAGGCAGTTGGCATTCTATCCTGCCAGGAGTATTGATCGTAGCCGTCTTAGGGGATAAATCCCGTGCCAACTGCCTTTAGGAGTTATCCTCCTAAGACGGCTACGACAATTATCCTGGCAGGATAGAATCCGGGCAGGCGCTGCATGGCGGTTTTCCCCGAGAAAGCGTGCTCCTGTAAGGGCCCTATCAAGCCACAACTTTACGTCCCAAACGCCCGCCCACAAATGGACGACCGTTCCTGACGCTCGTATTCATTCATTTGCTAAGCAAATTATGAAGCGAAGGGATTGGTATGAAGCGGCCGTGATGCTGCATGCATACATGGGTACACATATGCGGCCGCTCATCTCGGTAGGGGCCGCCGTGATTGGTAAGGTGCCCTACGGGAAACTCGTCCGAAATCGATTTACAAGTCACTGAGAGCCGAGGCTCTTTTTTCGCAGGATTTTGACCCATTCACTCCGCTCTTTCGCCTCCCCCACTATATAGGCCCTACTAGCATTTTGGGCCGAGCACCAAATTATCGTGCCAACTGCCTTTAAGTATATGGGCTAGATAAGCGGCTTAAAGTCAAATACACACATTACACACATTACCTTCGGTTACCGTTCTTCTTATAGGCGGATGGAATGGCGTCCGCGTAGCTGCGAGTAGCGTACCATTTTCGTCAGTCAGAAGTGCAACTGAGTCTATAGGGTAGTGCGTACGCGAGTAGCCGCTACCGCCTACCATACTTCCGCCTACGCATCTCAGTGTGCAACACGTGCCGTCAATATCAGAAGCTGCCGCTAACGAACACGTCAGCAGCCTAGCTAGAGAGCAACAGATAGTGAGAGGACACAGGCAAATAGTGCGTTTGCCCATGGTTAGGCGCAGGAAACGCCATAACCTATGGAAACGGCACCGAGTATCACTATCCTGCAGCCAGTTCCCGTGGCTGGTAATCTTGCTCTGTGTTAATCATTGTACTCTTCCCATAGTGGTCTGTGAGGGTAGCGAATAGAAAAGGGTAAGCATACCGAGAAAGACAACGCCATGTTTGGCCACATGAAGGGCTGCGCTGCCGTAATCAGCGCTACAATAAACAAATGGCGGTAATAGTTAGTGTTGAAGACGGTCCCCACGTACAACCAAAATCGGAGCTTCTCCTTGCACAAGTGGCTTGGCCTCAATGTCTTTAAGACTTGAACATGAAACACGTGAAAGAGGCGCCAAAAAATTTATTGCAAAAAACTCAAAAGACTCAAAAGAATCCAAAAGTTCTTGCAAAAAATTTCAAATTGTTACTAATACTTCCTTCGAATATTTCGGTGCTTAGCACCTTCTTCAGTGATCTGGAATACTAAATACGGTTTATTTGATAGAATGCCAGGGATGCGGGCAAAAGTTATGTTGGAGAGACCAAGGAGGCCACTCTTCAAACGATTGGATGAACATCGCAGGGCCTAAACAATCCAGCTTCATACCCGGATAATAGTCTCTCAAAGCACCGCACCAAAATGCACACACACGAAGGTCCTCCCGCAATTACCATTACAGTATTACACCGCTCAATAGAAAATCCGTTGGAAAGGAAATTATTGGAGCACTGGAAATAAGAAGGCTTTCCCCAGAAATGAATAGTAAGGAACCGCAGCGCTCGGCGCGCTGCAGTTGATCCACTGACTGCGTGATAAGGGTAGAGCGTTCAGTGATATCATATGCAGAAGCGCTCACTAAGCCTCACTGTTTAAGGAGGGTAACGGGTAGGGTCACAGTCACCACCAGAAGCCGCAACTTTTGCAAGGAGCAGCGGAGGCGGTATTGGAGGCTACGACCAGGTCAGAGTGCTTTTAAGGCATGAAACAAGCAGGTCCGGGCTACTCGTACACCTAGGCTGCCAGAGGCTTCCTACTCAGGGTGTTTTATTTTTTGACTTTTTTCTCCCACGGAGAGAGATTTAAAGACTATAGGTTTGTAACCGAACGCCACACTCTCCTATCTGCAATCACGGGTTGGTCTTTAAAGACAGTTCCCGCGATCAAGTGGTCCGCGAAATGCCTCCGTGTACTAGGCATCGTTGACTCGCAGAGAATATACCACTTTCATCACATGAAACGGCGAGATAAAGAAGTTAGAGAGGCGTGATTATTGCAACCATTGTAATCATGATGACTTTCACTCTACAAGACAACGGCTTACAAGCGATATTGCGTGTGTACATAGCGTTGCCTGGAGCGTCGTAGGGTGATTTCCTGTGCTCTTGCCGGGAATCGGTTGCACGTCGAACCCCGCTGATTGGGCTTGACGACGTCCGACAAACTCGTCCAAGGCGCCCACTGCTTATGAGTGTTATCGAATTTTTTCCCTACTCTTCCTCTACTGGGGAGTTACACACCGTATCCCAAAGATGAAGAGTCCACCGCTGCGTACTCCATTCAAACTTGGCGGCAGCTGCGTTTTTGGAGGGTTATTGCAGTTTCAGAACAGTTGCAAACATGACTTTGTTCAGTACAAGCTAGAACAACACTTGTATCAAATCGGAATATCCACACGAACAACGCATGCCATCTTCAAGTACAGTAAGCAGCCACGCCCAGTCGATCGCTGGGATGTGAGTGTACTTATGAGCTACTGGTTCATGACTGAGCACTACTACTCGTAACACTTGATCGCGGGAACTGTCTTGAAGGCCCAAACACAAAGTAATGGGTGGTAACTATCTTACCAGCGAAGTGAAGACTGGGCAGAACCGTCACCTGCGGTGTCCTGGATTCGGATAAGCATTTTAACAAGCGGGACACTGCTGAGAGGGCACATCAGAGCCCTTTACGGGTGGCATATCTCCAGCCTGTGACGGCTGCTGTGTCCTTGTCACATATTGTGGAAAGTGAGACGATTCTGAGATTGAGAACTTGGCTGTTTGCATGAGGAAGAGATTCTAACCACCGGGTACAAAAGTGTCCTTAGAATTCTTCTCGTCGAATGAATTTGAACGTTCCGTGGTTGCTAAAAAACTGTATCGCAACGGCAGTACTGTTTCTCTCCAGCCAGATTTTGCAGACATGGATGGCTAACGATCGTTCAAACATGCTATGCATATGGAAGTCGGGCTATGGTGGAATTCTGCCAAGGCTTCCGTAAACACGCCGCACTAACCAATGCTATATGTATGGTGACTTTTTTACGGTCGAATTACCGAAGGAAAGGCGAAAGGTCGCGGAAAGAAACGTTTTCGAATTCTGCTGCCGTCAGTGACTCGTGGAATGTTGTGTGTTCATCATTGTGATGAGGCGATTTTCGGTTGGTATATCGTCTGTGTTCGCGACCCCTTGTTACTTATCGGTATCGAGTTACGAAAACCAATCGACGAAGTCGTAGCAAGTGGTAATTCATTTCTTATTAAATCAGCATAAAAACCCATGTGTCATCGTGTCTTACTCTGTTGGCTCTCAGGCTTACGCAATGACTTCCTCCAAGGAAGCTTTTTCTCTTTACTGCCATTTGTCGTTGTTCGCAGTGCCCCCTTCAGAGGTCCTCAGCACGTTTACGGTATTGACATAGTGACTTCGATATTTCGCCTTCCAATTTTGTGCACCCCCACTTTTTTCCAGCATATAAAGAATGGCCGCCAAAGGAAGTTCAGAGCGCTCCGAGTGACTCCGCCCACATGACCACTGTGGATTATGCACTTGACAGCCTTAATCACCTTCTCCACTCATCCACATTTCCCCTAAAATACCTTCACGCGATCATTCTCATACTTATTCTCGCCTTTTAACTCTATGTTTCTACATTGAATAACTCTACTCACCGCCCCCCCTCCCCACTCCATTACTCTACCACATCAGTACTCAACGCTGGGGTAGTGTGGTAGCAAGTGACATCTCCGCGCGCGACCCGTCCAATCCCACACCGGCTCCCGCCCACGCCAACCAAAGCCTTCTACCCTCCGGGGACGGTAAATTGGTACCAGATTCGTCTGGGAGGATAAAACACTGACTTGTACATCAATTGGTCCTCGCAAGTCATTCTATGGCTCAGATCGTATGCAGTGTGCCACTGCGATTCTTAATGGTAGGTGCGTGTCACATCCGAAAAAGGGATCGATCGACGGCGAAGACGTCATTCTTTTCCCTTTTTGAGTCAATAGCGAAACTGAAGCTATTCGCGCTTATCATATCTTACAACTTTCTATCACAAATCACTACATTCCTCGACACACCATCCCATTTTCCTTTCTCCTCAATGAGTTTATTAGAAGCACTATGCGCATAAATTCAAATAGAATTGACGCTCGGGATACACAGTCCACTGTTAAGGGCTTTCACTGGCGTTTGTCGCTTATCCAGAAGCAATGGATAAAATGCCATGGCCAACCCTATGGGGACTTATGTTCTTTAGCATGCTTTTCTTTCTTGGAGTCAGTTCACAAGCGGGTAAGTTGTTTTTCTATAAACTTTTTGCGTGATTCACTCCTACGACACATTCAAAAGTTTTCGTAGTAGAAACTAGTGACATTTTCCACGCGGTCGGGTTGCCAAATAGTGGACCAATTTCCGTCTGGAGCAGCTGAGAGGTAGCCCGTCCATGCTGAACCTTGCACCACCCCAAGGTCAGTTAGGTAGCAGTAAACTAGCTGTGGATGATACAAAACCACCTTGCATATCGACTAATCCTCGCAACTGGTAGGGTCAATGGTCGAAGTCTGTACTTTCCCATGTTATTCCTCCAGCTTCGCACTTTGCTTCACAACTAGCATTTCTTCACCTCATTGGGAATGAAAACATTGTGGAGGAGACAAACGGCTATATATATATATCCTGCGGGTAAATGGCTGGTGGTCTCGTTGTTCTCGATTGCATTATTTATTCTGGGACTACCTTTCACGACAGAGGTGGTGTTTTTGGATACTGACAGGAGCACGCTTACCAAGCAATATCAGCATTCCAGAGTGGTTTCTACTGGTTTACCATTTATGACTCGTTTGCCGGTTCGTCATCGGCTTGCTTCATTATCACATTGGAGCTAGTTCTTTTTATCTATGTATACGGTATGCATGTATCTTTTGAGTGAGACCTTTTTAGCGAGGTGTACCTCGAGAGGGACACCATCCCTACTGCTTATGGTTACTACCTATTCTCCATGATTACTGAGTATACCTTCGCTATACGCCCAGTCACACCGTCCGTACCCATCGCTTTTTGAGCTACCATGCTTTTTCAGGTTACCGGAACCTTTACGACGATGTTGTTGAAATGTTTGGCGAACCGAGGGGGAACTGGCTAAGTTTTCTCGGCCCTCACTCTTGTATATGGATGATAAGTTGGAGAGTTATTGCCCCTGTGATCTCTACCGTAAGTTTTCAAATGGCTTTTGCATATTGGATGAATGCTCAGAGATGACTGTTGTTTAGCTGGTCTTCGTCTTCACCTTGATACGGGAACCGTTGAAGGGTCGACGTTGGTGCAACTGAGTACGAATTTCCTGGCTGGGCTACGGTAAGGTTCAGGAGACTTCTTCTATTAACTCCAGCACCAACACTTCATATGAACCTGTATCCATTCTTCGAGTATTTGTCAAGCATTTGGTTCTCATTCTAGTCTACAGGCGGGTCATGGGTCACTGGGCAGATACTGTTCAACTTGGACTTCATTCCTTCAGCGTTGTCGCAGTGCAGGAATCATGACCCGTCTGGAAGCACTGCCTTGTTCCATGGCCAAAACGTGTTGCGTGCTTCTCTCGGCCGCCTCAGCCCGTCGAAGGTGACCTTTGGGGAAACTGGTAGCACGGCACATGAAGTACACTAGAGTA